AAAACTTACCTAACCTTATTATAACAAGATAATTTATTTTAGCCTAAGCCAACTAATATATTTTAGATAGTTTACATTAATTTATACTAAACAAACACAAGTGAAATATATTTTTTTCGTTAGGTTCAAATGATTTTGGGAAATTATTGCATACACAAATTTTCGCTTGTCCTATATGGCAAGATGAGCGTTGCTATTTAAGCCAAGATCGCAAGTTCTGCCTAGTTCGGCACGACATATATAATATAATATATATATATATATATATATATATATATATATATATATATATATATATATATATATATATATATATATATAATGATATGTAGAAAAACTAACTAGTTTGCTAAGTTTTTCCTTGCATTCCTTTATAATCTTTAAGAATAGATCATCAAGGACCAGAGATTTGTTTGATCTTAATCTATCTGTTTGTCTGAGAACCATGTCACTAGTGACTGATCGTACGTAACTTGTTTTTCATGTCAAATATATTTTTTTATTTCTGGAAATTCTCTAGTATCTTCCTGCGTAAAAACTGAGAGGAAATAATTGTCGACGACTATACACATTTCTTTGTCACTGTCAGTAAGCTGACCTTAGTAATTTTTAAGTGGGTCTTTCGTGTCCCTAATCTTACTGCAGTATAGCTGAAAGAAACCTTACGGGTATCATGCCGGTGAGGTGATGTCTCACAAGAATTTCACGTGACATCACCTGTATGATAACTAAAAAACAACTGACCAACACATAAGATAATTTTGTAATATCCCATAAAAATATTATTTTTCTTTGCATTCCCGTCCTGATAAGTTGATATATGGATAAACATTAAAAAATGGGGGCTGATGAAGAAGAAAATGGGAAGATGAAGCACGCTGAGAAGAGACACAGGAGAAAATGAGATGAAGAGATAAAAATGGAGGATGTGAAGGAAACTGAAGAAGGGTAAGAGAGGAAGGAGAGAGAGATTTTTTTTCTTTTTACAATAAATTATTACGTTCTCAAAGATCCATGTAAACATTTATCACAACCTCAGTGAACCCTAAACATCTCATTCTCAAGAATTCAAAAGCATTTATCTCACTTTCGAGGAATCAAAACCATATGATTTCTCGAAAGTGTTCCATGGAAATGTTCTTGTGATCATTCATCTGTGAAAAATAACGATAACAATCTTTTACCTTCATTCTCTACCATTCTCACCCTCTCTGTTACTTCACTCCCTTTCTACCGTTCAAGTCCTTTCATTTCCTCTCTCTGTTTTCCTTCCACCTGGTCACTTCTCAGTTTTATCTTACAGTGTAGTTTGAGAGCCACAAACCTGTGTCAGCAGCCAGTAGTTCTCCTCGAGTGAGTGTATGGAGACCAGTTCTCCACCGTCTTGCCGACACTTGAGGTGAGAATCCCACCATGTCTCCTCACCAGTCTGAGAGAATATCTTGTAGCAGTATTCGTTGTACAAAGACCAAGTAGAGTCATCATCACAGGGCACATTTGGTGTGGTCACTGGAGGCTGCTGTGTACTTATCATCGCCCCTTGAAGTAAACAATAAAGTTGGTCCTCACTTAACGTCGTCGATAAGGTTTTGGAAACTGCGACTTTAAGCAAAGCAAAACCAAGTATAATGAAACCATTTTTACCAATGAGTGCACGTTTAACACTCATTTCAACAGGGATAAATCAAGGAATAAATGTTTGCAAAGCGAAAATTGTAAGTAGCACCTCCTACCTCCAGGCAGTTTAACAATAAACAATAACAAATATGGCGGACTCACTGAGCGCTTTCGTACCTCATCAGTTATTGTCATGCATTTGTATGATTATCGTATACTTTACGAATATATATTTTACTGTCTCCACATAGACAGTGGCCCCAACCAGGAATCATTTTTATTCTCATCGATGTTATAACAAAGTGACGTTGAACGAAACGACGTTAAGTGGGGACTTACTGTAAACGAATCGAATGATTACATATGATCTGCCCATTTTCGTCAAATTCATCAAGATTAACGAATAAACATTCCTTCACACCTTTCATTTTGCAGGATAAAAGCTGTGATCCTACTTCAGCTCACTGCAGATATACTTCCATCCAGACGTTTAGTATGCGACATATGATAGTCTACCAACTTCAAGGCACACAAAATACAACTAATGACATTTTACTGTGGCAACGTTTCGCTCTTCAGGAGCTTTGTCAAGCTGGCTGGACAAAGCTCCTGGAGAGCGAAACGTTGCCACAATGAAATGTATTTCTTGCATCTGTTTACATTTACCCAACATTTTGTCAGTAATTCTACCATATTAATTCAAGGCACCTTTTTACTGCATACCCTGCACAGCCCGGGAATCAAATCTGGGTCCTCATTGTTGTTAGCTGTTTGCTCTGCTGCTGATGGACAGTTAATGTAAAGCGAATCAATTACGCTCTGTTATTAGGGAATGAAGCAAAATTGATGATAGAGGACTCAGTTAAAATAAGGTCCCATAGGTTAATTGGTAGCGCGCTTAGCTCACACACACTGAGGTCCATGAGTCGATCCCAAGTACGGCTGGAAACATTAGGACGTGTTTCCTTAAGACACCTGCTGTCCATGTCCACCTAGCAATAAAATAGGTACCTGGGACAAAATTGACCTATTTTGCCAGAAATGTTCTGCATAACAAGCGACCTTCTATATAGTTGTATGTCACTGATGTCAGTTGGGACTGTATACCTTGTACATGTACTTGTAGAAATAAAGATAATATTATTATTATTATTAGTAGTAGTAGGTTTAGCGACTCTTTTATTTAAATAATAATAATAATAATAATAATAAATAATGCTATTATTATTATACTTGAGATATTGTCATTTAGGCATTACTGTAGGTACTAGGGTTATTGTAGGTACCAGGGTTATTGTAGGTGTCAAGGTTATTGTAAGTGCCAGAGTTATTGTGGCAACCAGAATTATTTAGGTACCAGAGTTATTGTAAGGATCGTAGATTCACTGTAGGCCAGTTATTGTTTGTACCTGATGTTAATTTGTAGGATCCAGAATTATGTGTATGTGTACTGAGTGTTTTGTAATACCAGAGTTATTGTAGATACCAGGGTTACTGTAGGTACCAGTGTTACGGAAGGTACTAGGGTTATTGCAGGTACCAGAGTTACTGTAGGTACCAGAGTTATTGTAGGTACCAGGGTTATTTTAGGCATCAGTTATTTTAGGTATCAGGGTTAGTGTATGTACCAGAGTTATTGTAGGTACCAAAGTTATTGTAGGTACTAGAAGTTTTGTAGGTACCAGAGTTATCGTAGGTACCAGGGTTATTGTAGGTACCAGTTATTGTAGGCACCAGAGTTACTGTAGGCACCAGAGTTATTTTAGGATCCAAAATTATTGTAGGTACCATAGTTATTTTAATACAAGAGTTATTTTAAGAACCAGAGTTATTGTAGGTACCAGAGTTATTGTAGGTACCAGAGTTATTGTAGGTACCAGGGTTATTGTAGGTACCAGTGTTACTGTAGGTACCAGGGTTATTGTAGGTACCAGAGTAATTGTAGGTACCAGGGTTATTGTAGGTGCCAGGGTTATTGTAGTGCCCAGAGCTCTTTCATCATTCTGAACAAACATTACCTGGTGTAGCTTCACAAACGAAGGGGAGAAGACTGCTACACACATTATCAGAGAGTTCGAGTGTGTCTCTGTCAGCGGAGCCACAGTACTCTCTCCCATAATAGTTGTCTGGCTGACCTGGCGCCCAGTTGACGTAGGCAAAAGGAGTACCGTCAATCCACTGGTACCCTGGGAAGGAAGGACAAGCTGTTATTTACCGAGGGAGGACAAAATAACATGAACACTTCGTTATTTACCATTTATCCTCCATTTGCAACTAAAAACAGCACCAGTTCGTCGAGAAATTCATTCATGTATCACCTGAACAATATCCAGGGAAATTTTTATTCATCCCTCAAGGAAAACCTGTTCTAACTCTTCCAGAGACGACGGTGGAGGAAGTCGGTTCTTAACTTGCTGTATATCAGTTAATACTTTTGAACATCATCGCCCCGTGACTTGATCTCTGACCAGGACCACTTTGTGGGAAAGTAAATATTAAAGTAATTGAAATTAAAGCGAGAGAGGTTTAATTTCAATTTCTTGCAGTTCCATTTTCCTTTAAGCTTGATTTATTAATTATATAGTATTTTTTAAATAAATGTATCCTTTGTTCTGCAAAACATAATGTAGTTTCAGTTGGAAATTTTTTATAAACCCTGGCCAATGTACAGTGGAACCCACATAAAGAAATGTAACACGAGTTCAGAGTAGCATTGTTTAAGTCGACCTGCGACAATCTGCTGTCCTGAGAATCTTGTTGTAGGCACCAATACACATTACTTCACGTGGCTTCGCTTCTGCGTAAACTTTATCCAATGGTAGCCAGAATAAAAGTATGAAAGTACAGGGAGAACTATGATAAAAATGAGATATGAAAGTAAACAGGAATAGAGTGAATGACTGGAGAGATAAGGTGTGATTTAAGAATGATGGAGTGTACAGGTGAGGCTTGTGGTTGTGGGAGGGTGGGTGAGGGTTGTGGTTGTGGGAGGGTGGGTGAGTTGTGGTTGTGGAGGGTGGGTGAGGCTTGTGGTTGTGGGAGGGTGGGTGAGGCTTGTGGTTGTGGGAGGGTGGGTGAGGGTTGTGGTTGTGGGAGGGTGGGTGAGGGTTGTGGTTGTGGGAGGTGGGTGAGGGTTGTGGTTGTGGGAGGGTGGGTGAGGCTTGTGGTTGTGGGAGGGTGGGTGAAGCTTGTGGTTTGTGGGAGGGGGTGAAGCTTGTGATTGTGGGAGGGTGGGTGAAGCTTGTGGTTGTGGGAGGGTGGGTGAAGCTTGTGATTGTGGGAGGGTGGGTGAAGCTTGTGGTTGTGGGAGGGTGGGTGAAGCTTGTGATTGTGGGAGGGTGGGTGAAGCTTGTGGTTGTGGGAGGGTGGGTGAAGCTGTGGTTGTGGGAGGGTGGGTGAAGCTTGTGGTTGTGGGAGGGTGGGTGAAGCTTGTGGTTGTGGGAGGGTGGGTGAAGCTTGTGGTTGTGGGAGGGTGGGTGAAGCTTGTGGTTGTGGGAGGGTGGTGAAGCTTGTGATTGTGGGAGGGTGGGTGAAGCTTGTGGTTGTGGGAGGGTGGGTGAAGCTTGTGGTTGTGGGAGGGTGGGTGAAGCTTGTGGTTGTGGGAGGGTGGGTGAAGCTTGTGGTTGTGGGAGGGTGGGTGAAGCTTGTGGTTGTGGGAGGGTGGGTGAAGCTTGTGATTGTGGGAGGTGGGTGAAGCTTGTGGTTGTGGGAGGGTGGTGAAGCTTGTGGTTGTGGGAGGGTGGGTGAAGCTTGTGGTTGTGGGAGGGTGGGTGAAGCTTGTGGTTGTGGGAGGGTGGGTGAAGCTTGTGGTTGTGGGAGGGTGGGTGAAGCTTGTGGTTGTGGGAGGGTGGGTGAAGCTTGTGATTGTGGAGGGTGGGTGAAGCTTGTGGTTGTGGGAGGGTGGGTGAAGCTTGTGGTTGTGGGAGGGTGGGTGAAGCTTGTGGTTGTGGGAGGGTGGGTGAAGCTTGTGGTTGTGGGAGGGTGGGTGAAGCTTGTGGTTGTGGGAGGGTGGGTGAGGGTTGTGTTGTGGGAGGGGGTGAGGCTTGTGGTTGTGGGAGGGTGGGTGAGGGTTGTGGTTGTGGGAGGGTGGGTGAAGCTTGTGGTTGTGGGAGGGTGGGTGAGGGTTGTGGTTGTGGGAGGGTGGGTGAGCTTGTGGTTGTGGGAGGGTGGGTGAAGCTTGTGGTTGTGGGAGGGTGGGTGAAGCTTGTGTTGTGGGAGGGTGGGTGAAGCTTGTGGTTGTGGGAGGGTGGGTGAAGCTTGTGGTTGTGGGAGGGTGGGTGAAGCTTGTGGTTGTGGGAGGGTGGGTGAAGCTTGTGGTTGTGGAGGGTGGGTGAAGCTTGTGATTGTGGGAGGGTGGGTGAAGCTTGTGGTTGTGGGAGGGTGGGTGAAGCTTGTGGTTGTGGGAGGGTGGGTGAAGCTTGTGGTTGTGGGAGGGTGGGTGAAGCTTGTGATTGTGGGAGGGTGGGTGAAGCTTGTGGTTGTGGGAGGGTGGGTGAAGCTTGTGGTTGTGGGAGGGTGGGTGAAGCTTGTGGTTGTGGGAGGGTGGGTGAAGCTTGTGTTGTGGGAGGGTGGGTGAAGCTTGTGATTGTGGGAGGGTGGGTGAAGCTTGTGGTTGTGGGAGGGTGGGTGAAGCTTGTGGTTGTGGGAGGGTGGGTGAAGCTTGTGGTTGTGGGAGGGTGGGTGAGGCTTGTGGTTGTGGGAGGGTGGGTGAGGGTTGTGGTTGTGGGAGGGTGGGTGAAGGCTTGTGGTTGTGGAGGGTGGGAGAGGCTTGTGGTTTGTGGGAGGGTGGGTGAGGGTTGTGGTTGTGGGAGGGTGGGTGAGGCTTGTGGTTGTGGGAGGTGGGTGAAGCTTGTGGTTGTGGGAGGGTGGGTGAGGGTTGTGGTTGTGGGAGGGTGGGTGAGGCTTGTGGTTGTGGGAGGGTGGGTGAAGCTTGTGATTGTGGGAGGGTGGGTGAAGCTTGTGGTTGTGGGAGGGTGGGTGAAGCTTGTGGTTGTGGGAGGGTGGGTGAAGCTTGTGGTTGTGGGAGGGTGGGTGAAGCTTGTGGTTGTGGGAGGGTGGGAGAGGCTTGTGTTGTGGGAGGGTGGGTGAGGGTTGTGGTTGTGGGAGGGTGGGTAGGCTTGTGGTTGTGGGAGGGTGGGTGAAGCTTGTGGTTGTGGGAGGGTGGGTGAAGCTTGTGGTTGTGGGGGGTGGGAGAGGCTTGTGGTTGTGGGGGTGGTGAGGGTTGTGGTTGTGGGAGGGTGGGTGAGGCTTGTGGTTGTGGAGGGTGGGAGAGGCTTGTGGTTGTGGAGGGTGGGTGAGGGTTGTGGTTGGTGGGAGGGTGGGTGAGGCTTGTGGTTGTGGGAGGGTGGGTGAAGCTTGTGGTTGTGGGAGGGTGGGTGAGGTTGTGGTTGTGGAGAGGGTGGGTGAGGCTTGTGGTTGTGGGAGGGTGGGTGAGGCTTGTGGTTGTGAGGGTGGGTGAGGTTTGTGGTTGTGGAGGTAGTGAGGCTTGTGGTTGTGGGAGGGTGGGTGAAGCTTGTGGTTGTGGGAGGGTGGGTGAGTCTTGTGGTTGTGGGAGGGTGGGTGAGTCTTGTGGTTGTGGAGGGTGGGTGAGGGTTGTGGTTGTGGGAGGGTGGGTGAAGCTTGTGGTTGTGGGAGGGTGGGTGAAGCTTGTGGTTGTGGGAGGGTGGGTGAGTGCTTGTGGTTGTGGAGGGTGGGTGAGGCTTGTGGTTGTGGGAGGGTGGGTGAAGCTTGTGGTTGTGGGAGGGTGGGTGAAGTTTGTGGTTGTGGGAGGGTGGGTGAGGCTTGTGGTTGTGGGAGGGTGGGTGAGGCTTGTGGTTGTGGTGGGGGAGGGTGGGTGAGGCTTGTGGTTGTGGGAGGGTGGGTGAGTCTTGTGGTTGTGGAGGGGGGTGAAGCTTGTGGTTGTGGGAGGGTGGGTGAGTCTTGTGGTTGTGGGAGGGTGGGTGAAGCTTGTGGTTGTGGGAGGGTGGGTGAGTCTTGTGGTTGTGGGAGGGTGGGTGAGGCTTGTGGTTGTGGGAGGGTGGGTGAAGCTTGTGGTTGTGGGAGGGTGGTGAGCTTGTGGTTGTGGGGGTGGGTGAAGCTTGTGTTGTGGGAGGGTGGGTGAGTCTTGTGGTTGTGGGAGGGTGGGTGAAGCTTGTGGTTGTGGGAGGGTGGGTGAGTCTTGTGGTTGTGGGAGGGTGGGTGAAGCTTGTGGTTGTGGGAGGGTGGGTGAGTCTTGTGGTTGTGGGAGGGTGGGTGAGGCTTGTGGTTGTGGGAGGGTGGGTGAGTCTTGTGGTTGTGGGAGGGTGGGTGAAGCTTGTGGTTGTGGGAGGGTGGGTGAAGCTTGTGGTTGTGGGAGGGTGGGTGAAGCTTGTGGTTGTGGGAGGGTGGTGAGTCTTGTGGTTGTGGGAGGGTGGGTGAAGCTTGTGGTTGTGGGAGAGTGGGTGAGTCTTGTGGTTGTGGGAGGGTGGGTGAAGCTTGTGGTTGTGGGAGGGTGGGTGAGCTTGTGGTTGTGGGAGGGTGGGTGAGGCTTGTGGTTGTGGGAGGGTGGGTGAAGCTTGTGGTTGTGGGAGGGTGGGTGAAGTTTGTGGTTGTGGGAGGGTGGGTGAGGCTTGTGGTTGTGGGAGGGTGGGTGAAGTTGTGGTTGTGGGAGGGTGGGTGAAGCTTGTGGTTGTGGGAGGGTGGGTGAGGCTTGTGGTTGTGGGAGGTTGGTGAAGTTTGTGGTTGTGGAGGGTGGGTGAAGCTTGGGTTGTGGGAGGGTGGGTGAGTCTTGTGGTTGTGGGAGGTGGGTGAAGCTTGTGGTTGTGGGAGGGTGGGTGAGCCTTGTGGTTGTGGGAGGGTGGGTGAGGCTTGTGGTTGTGGGAGGGTGGTTGAAGTTTGTGGTTGTGGGAGGGTGGGTGAGGCTTGTGGTTGTGGGAGGGTGGGTGAGGCTTGTGGTTGTGGGAGGGTGGTGAGGCTTGTGGTTGTGGGAGGGTGGGTGAAGTTTTGGTTGTGGGAGGTTGGTGAAGCTTGTGGTTGTGGGAGGGTGGGTGAGGCTTGTGGTTGTGGGAGGGTGGGTGAAGTTTGTGGTTGTGGGAGGGTGGGTGAAGCTTGTGGTTGTGGGAGGGTGGGTGAGTCTTGTGGTTGTGGGAGGGTGGTGAAGCTTGTGGTTGTGGGAGGGTGGGTGAGTCTTGTGGTTGTGGGAGGGTGGGTGAGGCTTGTGGTTGTGGGAGGGTGGGTGAAGTTTGTGGTTGTGGGAGGGTGGTGAGGCTTGTGGTTGTGGGAGGGTGGGTGAGGCTTGTGGTTGTGGGAGGGTGGGTGAGGCTTGTGGTTGTGGGAGGGTGGGTGAAGTTTGTGGTTGTGGGAGGGTGGGTGAGGCTTGTGGTTGTGGGAGGGTGGGTGAGGCTTGTGGTTGTGGGAGGGTGGGTGAAGTTTGTGGTTGTGGGAGGGTGGGTGAAGTTTGTGGTTGTGGGAGGGTGGGTGAGGCTTGTGGTTGTGGGAGGGTGGGTGAGGCTTGTGGTTGTGGGAGGGTGGGTGAGGCTTGTGGTTGTGGGAGGGTGGGTGAAGTTTGTGGTTGTGGGAGGGTGGGTGAAGTTTGTGGTTGTGGGGGTGGGTGAGGCTTGTGGTTGTGGGAGGGTGGTGAGGCTTGTGGTTGTGGGTGGGAGGGTGGTGAGGCTTGTGGTTGTGGGTGGGGGTGTGGTGAGGCTTGTGGTTGTGGGTGGGAGGGTGGGTGAGGGTTGTGGTTGTGGGTGGGAGGGTGGGTGAGGCTTGTGGTTGTGGGTGGGAGGGTGGGTGAGGCTTGTGGTTGTGGGTGGGAGGGTGGGTGCAGAACAGAATGGGAATGACTGGTGGAATGATGAGGTAAAATATTGTGGTAAGAGTGGTAAAAATCAAAATATGAAAGGTTTTCTTAAACTAGGAATTATATGGGAAAATAAAGAGGATCTGGATAAGAAAATAATTCTTAAAAAGTGAAAAACCACGAACATGTAGCTGTTATTGTGTCCACAAGCCACATGACTCTTTCATTTTCTACAAGCCACATGATTTTTCCACTTTCAACAAGCCACATGGATTTTCTAGTGTCTACAAGCCACATAATTCTTCCAGTCTACTAACCACGTGGCTCTTGACCTGTCTACAAGCCACATGACTCTTTTTCTGTCTACAAGCCACATGTCTCTTGTTCTGTCTACAAGCCACATGGCTCTTGTTCTGTCTACAAGCCACGTGACTCTTTGTCTGTCTACAAGCCACAAGGTTCTTACTCTGTCTACAAGCTACATGGGTCTTCTGCCTACAAGCCACATGATTCTTCCTCTGTCTAGTAGCCACATGATTCTTCCTCTGTCTACAAGCCACATGGCTCTTGTTATGTCTTCACTCGGCGATTCGGCACAAACAAGTAGTTTTTAAGCATTTAACAAAGACATACACAGACGTTCGCACACAAATGTTTGTAGGGAGGTGTTTACAGACAGATGTTTAAAGACACACATGCGACATCGCAGGGAGATGGATCATGTGCTTCCACTTTGAGATGTTTTTCACTGAGGTATCTCTTCGTTTCTAATCTTACTTGTTTTAGAGTGATTTCTTAAGACATATACATAAGGAGAGACAAGTACATCTCAATACCTTTCATCAGCTGGCGACACTTACCTGTTTCACCACCAGAAGTGAGGCCGACCCAGAAGACGTCGTGGTCAGGCAGGCTGGACATGACCAGGCTGTAAGGAAGGTATGAGTTAGTCACTTAGCATTACTTGTCAATCAGGTACGTGGTGGGTACTGTTGCACAAGGCTCGGTACTGTGCACATGACTCAGTACTGTGCATACAACCTGGAACTTTGCGCATAGCACGATGGCAAAGAAACTCTGATAAAACTCCCATTTAACCTCTGTGTAGCAACCAAAGTACAGAAGTCCTCACTTAACGTCGTCGATTGGTTCTTGGAAACTGTGACTTTAAGCGAAACGACGTATAACGAAATCAGTTTTACCACAGACTAATTGATATAAACGAGAGTTAGTTTTGTCACATTTTTTCTCTGTTTTTTGTAGCCACAGACATCAGGGGGTGTACAGTGCACCTTCAGCACTCATTGTAACAGGGTTAAATCAAGAAATGTTTGCAAAGCAAAAATTATAAGGAGCACCTATAACCACCAGGCAATTCAAAAAACAAAAACAAATATGGCGGCCTCGCTGAACGCTTTCGTACCGCATCGTTTATTGTCGTGCACTTGTATGATTATTGTATACTTCACGAATATTTATTTACTGTCTTCACACAGACAGTGGCCCCCGGCAGGGAATCGATTTTTTTTTTCTCATCAGCATTATAGCAGGACGATGTTCAATGAAACGGTGCTAAGTGAGGACTTCCTGTACCATTTACCAAACCACTATTCTAATAACTTCCTCAGTTTATGTTAAAAAATGCAACATATTAACATCCCTTTTTCAGAGTACAGACACTGTACTTCCCACCTTCAGGACTCAATTGCAGCTAACCGATTTCCCTGAATCCCTTCATCAATGTTACACTCCAACAGCACGTCAAGTCATATAAACCATTTGTCTCGACATACTCATGCAGGCATGCTAGAAGTCCAAGCCCCTCGTATACAAAGCCTCCTTTACCCCCTTCCCATCCCCATTTCCTAGGACTACCCCTATCCTGCCTTCCACTACAGATTTCTATGCCCTCCAAGATATTCTATTTGGTTCCATCTTCTCTAAATGTCCAAACCACCTCAACAATCCTTCCTCTGCCCTCTAGATAATACTTTTAGAAACCTTGCACCTCCTTCTGATCTCTAAGCTAGGGATTCTCTGCATTATATTCACACAGCACATTGCTCTCAGACATGACATCTCTACTACCTCCAGCCTTCTCCTTGTTGCAACATTCACCACTCATGCTTCACACCCAGTGGCGGTTTGTAGCGCCAGTAATACCTATACTATCGTACTGCATCGAACTTCTATTTTTGATCATTTTTTATCTCGTTTCAACAAAAAAAAATAAATAAAAATTCGCTTATAAATACACTGAAAACATACAACAGATTTTTCCTGTAATATATTTGTCAGTTGCAAATTATTTTTAGTGTACGGTTGATGAAGTCATACATCTGGCAGTGATCACTTGGGGGGACTGCAGCTCTGCAGCTCCTATGGACGAGCCACCACTGTTCACATCCATATAAGAGTGGTGGTACCACTATACTCTCATACATTCCCCTCTTTACTTCCATGTGGTGATGGTTGTGATGGTGATAGTTATGGTGGTGCCGAGAATGATGGTCCTAGTTACGGGGGTTTGTGGTGGTGATGGTAGTGCTGTTGTTGTGACCACTAACCTGAGTATAGCATCTTGTTCTTGAGCGGTGGCCACGCTCACCAGGTGACCTCCTGAAGACGCACACACAGCCTCACTCCCTGACCAGGTCTTCCTGTCTTCTAACACCTGCAGTAAATTTAAAAACATATAAAGGTCACAGCAATACCTGGATTAATAATGCAAAGTAGGAAACTATTTTAAATGAAATATAAACTATTGGTAAGAAAACTTTGTAAATTTCGGTCTCTGAGACCTCTCTTCTTCCCAGTATTGACTCACTTTGTAATAAGTGTGTACAGTTCACTGTAAATATAATTAAAATGCAGTGTTTGTGTAGATCATGCAATTACATTATGGGTACCACATACATAGATATTGTGGGAACTTTTCGTCCTAAAGTTCCACAGGGTAAATAAGCCGTATGAAGCCCCTAATTCCACAAATAGACCGTCTGAGTTTTTAGGGCCCTCACATCTACCCAAAACACAAACACACTGCCGGGTTGGCGAAGGTGGTTGGAATTTACCCTTTAAGGAAGGTGTAGGTAGTTTAGATTGTTAGTAAACTAATATTAAGATTATTGAAGCAACTGCAGATATTAATAATGTAGACCTAAGACCTTAACGTAGGTAGGAATAGGCCTTTAATATAGGCAAACACTAGGTTAAATTAACTAGGGAGAACTGGCAGCCCCAAGCTAGAACGGCGAGGCACTGATCTTTGAGACGCTAGTGGTTCCTTCTAAGATCAGACATCATCGGAATTACAAGTGCCGTGAACAGCAGGGCGGCGCCCACACGTGTCTACACATACTAGAGCTGGGGAAATCTCGTGAAGGCACCTCGAAGCACTGTAGATGCCTCCTCTGTCAGTAAGACAAGACCTCCTTTTCTTTCTCGGTATTCTGGCCAGTTCCTGGGAAGGAAACGCGAATGAGTTGCACTGTGGGTCTTTGCGCAGTCGGACGCCCGTAGACCAGTACGTACCGACGTCCCCTCTTTAATTTAAAGCTTAGAAGCTAGTGTCACTTCCTGCTTAGTTATACTAGGGGTTACATACCCTCTTGGAATCAGGAATTTCTGAGGTGCAAGCAGGTCACTAATACCGACTGAATATTGCAGGAATTAAGTTTTCGTCTGCACATGGTGACTTGAAGGGGAATGTCCACAGGGGCTAAGGCTTAGGGAGGTTGGTAGACCGGGTGATATATTCTCCAATACCAAGTAAGTTAGTCCTCTATTCATGCATGAAGACTGGAATTTGCAACATCAGTTATTTATGGAAATGTGTCATATAAGCTACTTGTGAGGCTGAGGCACCAACCTCAGAGCTTCTTGTCAACAGAGCTTGCTAGGGTAGACAACTCACATGGAGGCAGTCCAGAGAAATTTTCACAGATATCAAGTGACAGTGGAATGATATACCCATGTTGAGGACAGGAGCCGATGGCATAACTACGTTCCCGTATGTGAAGATTTTGCCACGAGGAAGAATTTACTGGACATCACCAATCATCTTTTGGGTGAATATAAAGCTATAAATCCAGATAATACCATAAATGTAGTTCATGAATGCTAGTGGTATTAATTCCATATTCTTGTAATTTGGTACAACTAAGAGAGTTTGTTTATCCTCCTCTCCACACTACACTGTCACTCCTGTATACATAAACCTGCCATATTTACAGGTAAATAAATGGAACTCTATCCACTATCATATTCTCTGTACATGAATGGTATACAATACCGACAAGACGAAATTAAGACACATGTGCAACATCTGGATATCTTTATTGTAGACGTTTCATCATCCAGTGGCTTTATCAATACAAATTCCAGGACATAATTTGAAGACAGTAGAACTATATACAGAAGATGAAGAAATCAGTCCCTCAACCTTGAAGTTGGTGTCAAGAGCACCGTAGTCGTGGAGGTTCTGGAGCAGAGGCATGGAGACTGGCGCTTATATACTAACGTCAGGTGGAAAGAGGACGTGTAGCAGACAAGGACATAGTCACTGGTAGGCGGGATTCCCCAGTGGAAGTAGGTGATACCCACAGAGATGGGTTAGTTGTAGTAGTAGTTGTCGTAGTCGTGAAGAAGGTTATGTTGAAGATTGAGACACTTATGCAACATACGGAAATCTTTATTGAAAAAACGTTTCGCCACACAGTGGCTTCATCAGTCCAATACAAAGCAGGAAGGTGTAAGAGGAGGAGGAGTTTGAGGTAATCAGTCCCTCAGCCTGGAATGGATGTGTTCAGTCCATCACTCTTGTAGAACTGATAGACTGAACACATCGACTCCAGGTTGAGGGACTGATTTCCTCATCTTCTGTATATAGTCCTACTGTCTTCAAATTATGTCCTAGAATTTGTATTGATAAGCCACTGATGGCGAAACGTCTACAGTAAAGATACCCAGATGTTGCACACGTGTCTTAATTTCATCTTGTTCTCTCTTTTATTGCCATCTTTTGTGGAAACAGAAGCACTTTCTGCAAACTATCAAAGATTCTAACGAAGCAACAAGCAAAACACTTGGGCTCTATCAGTCATGTATACAAACAATACTTTCAACTCCTCAGCTGTGTCTGAATTTTTAAAGTCAGTCTTTTGTGACTCAGTTGGCAGCGCCGACATCTCACTAACCGTAGCTCAGTCCCCAACACGGATAGGAACGGTGAGTGTTCCTTACACCTGTCGCCCTTGTTCACCTAGTAGTAGGTAGGTACCTGGGTGTTAGTCAACTTGGCGCCGTGCTCACATCTTCAGCTCACCAGTCAACTTCACTGTCAAAAACATTCTCTAGCATTCTCTCCAACACTGAATTCCAGTTGGTCTCAATTGTCCCCATTGAGATCAAGAATTAATAAACTGATTAACTAGACATATGTGAAGCACTTGGGTATCTTCCCTGTGGATATCTTTCGCCACACAGATACCCAAGTGTTGCATACATGTCTAATTTATCAACTTGTCGTTTCTCAGAACAGTTTATCAACATGACTAGTAAGATACAACAACAAGTCCAAAACAAGGAAAGAATATGCGAGCACAACATTCCCTGCAACGACTCCCACCAAGTATATTTTGGCGAAACCTCACGAAGCCTGTAATAATGTTGGCAGAATTACCGACATTTTATTCTTGCAAAGTTTCGCTCTCCACGAGCTTTGTCAAGTCTTTACGGCTTAACAACAATATGTCGCATCAGGTGCACATGAGTCAGGTTACTTAGGTAACACCAATAAGCCAGCAGAATGAACCAGATAAATAATGCCTGTGTTTTACACACAGTCACTACAGCCACCACAACAATCACTACAGTCACTACAACAATCACTACAGTCACTACAACAATCACTACAGTCACTACAACAATCACTACAGTCACTACAACAATCACTACAGTCACTACAACAATCACTACAGTCACTACAACAATCACTACAGTCACTACAACAATCACTACAGTCACTACAACAATCACTACAGTCACTACAACAATCACTACAGTCACTATAACAATCACTACAGCCACCACAACAATCACTACAGTCACTACAACAATCACTACAGCCACTATAACAATCACTACAGCCACCACAACAATCACTACAGTCACTACAACAATCACTACAGTCACTACAACAATCACTACAGTCACTACAACAATCACTACAGTCACTACAACAATCACTACAGTCACTACAACAATCACTACAGTCACTACAACAATCACTACAGTCACTACAAAATCACTACAGTCACTACAACAATCACTACAGTCACTACAACAATCACTACAGTCACTACAACAATCACTACAGTCACTAACAATCACTACAGTCACTACAACAATCACTACAGTCACTACAACAATCACTTCAATCACTAAAACAACACTACAGTCACTACAACAATCACTACAGTCACTACAACAATCACTACAGTCACTATAACAATCACTACAGTCACTATAACAATCACTACAGCCACCACAACAATCGCTACAGTCACTACAACAATCACTACAGTCACTACAACAATCACTACAGTCACTAAAAAACAATCACTTCAATCACTACAACAATCACTACAGTCACTACAACAATCACTACATTCACTACAACAATCACTACAGTCACTATAACAATCACTACAACAATCACTACAGTCACTACAACAATCACTACAGTCACTATAACAATCACTACAGTCACTATAACAATCACTACAACAATCACTACAGTCACTACAACAATCACTACAGTCACTATAACAATCACTACAGTCACTATAACAATCACTACAGCCACTATAACAATCGCTACAGTCACTATAACAATCGCTACAGTCACTACAACAATCACTACAGTCACTACAACAATCACTACAGTCATTATAACAATCACTACAGTCACTACAACAATCACTACAGTCACTACAACAATCACTACAGTCACTACAACAATCACTACAGTCACTATAACAATCACTACAGCCACTATAACAATCGCTACAGTCACTATAACAATCGCTACAGTCACTACAACAATCACTACAGTCACTATAACAATCACTACAGTCACTATAACAATCACTACAGTCACTACAACAATCACTACAGTCACTATAACAATCGCTACAGTCACTACAACAATCACTACAGTCACTATAACAATCACTACAGTCACTATAACAATCACTACAGTCACTACAACAATCACTACAGTCACTACAACAATCACTACAGTCACTACAACAATCACTACAGTCACTATAACAATCGCTACAGTCACTACAAACAATCACTACAGTCACTATAACAATCACTACAGTCACTATAACAATCACTACAGTCACTACAACAATCACTACAGTCACTATAACAATCGCTACAGTCACTACAACAATCACTACAGCCCACTATAAAAATCGCTACAGTCACTACAACAATAAACTACAGTCACTATAACAATCGCTACAGTCACTAAACAATCACTACAGTCACTATAACAATCACTACAGTCACTACAACAATCACTACATTTCACTATAACAATCGCTACAGTCACTACAACAATCACTACAGTCACTATAACAATCGCTACAGTCACTACAACAATCACTACAGTCACTATAACAATCACTACAGTCACTATAACAATCACTACAGTCACTACAACAATCACTACAGTCACTATAACAATCGCTACAGTCACTACAACAATATCAATTATTGTGAAAGAAGGCACTTCAGAATGCATGCTTCTGGAGTTTACCTGGAGAGGGTTTCAGGGGTCAACGCCCCCGCGGTCCGGTCTGAGACCAGGTCTCATGGTGGATCAGGGTCTGATCAAACAGGCTGTTACCGCTGGCCGCACGCAAGCCGACGTACGAACCACAGCCCGGTTGGTCAGGTACTGACTTTAGGTGCCTGTCCAGTTCCTTCTTGAAGACAGCCAGGGATCTATTGGTAATCCTCCTTATGTATGCTGGGAGGCAATTGAACAGTCTTGGGCCCCGGACACTTATTGTGTTGTCTCTCAGTGTACTCGTGGCGCCCCTGCTTTTCATCGAGGGAATGTTGCAACTACTGTCGAGTGTTTTGCTTTCATAGGGAGTGATTTTCGTGTGCAGGCTTGGTGCCCATCCCTCCATGACCTTCCAAGTGTATATTATCATGTATCTCTCTCGCCTGCATTCCAGGGAATACAGATCAAGGATCTTCAACAGTTCCAGTAGTTTAGGTGCCTTATCGCACTTATGTGTGCCGTAAAAGTTCCTTGTACACTCTCAAGGTCTGCAATGTCGCCAGCCTTGAAGGGGGTAGTTAGTACACAGCAGTATTCCAGCTTAGAGAGCACAAACGATTTGAAGAGAATCATCATGGGCTTGGCGTCCCTAGTTTTGAAGGTTCTTATTATCCATCCTATCATTTTCCTAGTAGATGAGGTAGATACATTGTTGTGGTCTTTGAAGGCGAGATCCTCTGACATTATCACTTCCAGGTCCTTCACATTACTTTCCCGCTCTATTGTATGGTTAGAATTTGTCATATACCCTCATACATTTTTAATTTCTTCAAGTTTCCCATAACTGACAGCTCATACACTATCTTCCTTGACCATAAATTTGCTTTTGATGTAGCCATCCGACATGTAATCATTAGTAAACTTGCCAGAATGGATGTTGGAGGATGGCTTCTCCGCTACATTAAAGGCTACCTGTCCAACAGAAAGTCTTCTGTGTTGCTCCAGGAACATCGAAGTGTAACTAAAGACTTTGAATTAGGAACCCCACAGGGTGGTGTGCTCAGTCCCATCTTATTCAATATTCTAATAAATGCCTTACTTAATGCAGTGCTTAGCCCGCCCGATTATTATATGATTAGCTTTGCTGATGATATAATGATCTGCACCACCGGATTCTCCACCGCCCAAAACATCCTTAACCATGTACTAGTCTGGTGTCAGGACCTGGGATTGATTATCTCTACTGATAAAAGATACTAAACAGGCGTCCTCCTCGACAGAGAGGCAGAGTTCGCCAGATTCAGTTGCATGATGGGTCTCTTCTAGAATATGTAACCAGATACAGGTATCTAGGCATTGAGGTCCCATTACTTGGACCTGTTGTAACGAGACTTAGTCGCCAATACAAAGAAAGGCTGAGAGAACTTACTGTTGCGGCAGGTTTACACCCCAGGTATGGTTGCTAATATTAAAATTGTGAAAATTATGTATTTTGATAATATTAATCTTTGGTTGATTATGCCACGCCACTACTTCCTCTCGTGTCTGACTGGAAGCTTGGAGGCTGGAAAAACTGTAGAACGAAGGAATGAGGATCATCCTAGGATGCCCTCGTATTACCAAAATTTTAAATATGCGGAAAGAACTTGATATTCCAAGCATCAGATACTGTGTTACTGAAAGAAATATCCTCATTGGGGTCAATATAGCTTAGGTCAGCCCATTCAAACCCCTGCACAAAAGCCCTCCAATCTTTCCTCAGTACTGGTGAACACCCCTCCAGATCGATCGAAAAACTGGAACCGACCTCCGCATGAACCAGCTACATGATTTTCGTCAAGTAAGGCGACAGTGGCATTTCCCCGCTCCATGGAATATTACCCCATTCCAAACTACCATCTTTCCATTACCCCCTCCCCCCAAAAAAATTCTTAAAACAAAACCAAAGCTTCGCCTTGAAGCCAGAAAGGATGCCTTAAGCTGTATTGATAACTTAGTCGCCACTGTGTGGCGAAACGTTTCCTTAATAAAGATTCCCATACTTTGCATAAGTGTCTCAATCTTCAACTTCTGGGTTTTCAAACCATTTATCACATCTGTCAGACACTGCAACATCGTGGGATCTTGATACAAGGAATTCTGCAATACTTGTCCAACCTTGGACGAAGACCTACTTACACTAGTGGATGGTAAAACTGTGATCCCGCCTCCTCCTGCTTCCACTCACCTGACTACAGTATATAAGCCACTTCTCCGGCCATATGCTGTACTTTCTGCAAGAGTGATGGACTGAACACATCGATTCCAGGCTGAGGGACTGATTACCTCAAACTCCTCCTCTCCTATACCTCTTTGCTTCGTACTTTAGCGCTTCCCCCTTGATTATATTAATAATTATAATTTGCTTCGTACTGGACTGAAGAAGCCACTGTGTGGCGAAACGTTTCCTTAATAAAGATTCCCATCTGTTACATAAGTGTCTCAGTCTTCTACTAGATCCTGTTAGGCAGGTCCAACTCACACCCACTCATGTCTTTATCTAACCAATTTTTAAAACTACTGAAGGTTTTAGTTACAGTGACGCTACTCATCCACAATTCTATTACCAAACCAGTACTTTCCTATATCATTTCTAAATCTAAATGTTTCCTGCTGTGAACCCACTGTTGTGAATCCTATCTTGGTTACACATTTTTAGCTCATTATTTATATCCCCTTTATTTATTCATGTCTTCCATTTATTCACCTTAATCATATCCTCCCTAATTCTCCGTCTTTCCAGGGAATGCGGATACAGTGTCGTCAATCTGTTCTCGTAGGAAAGATTTCTGAAACATGGGCTCGACTTTGCCACCTCTTCATATTTTCCAGAGTTTTTATGTTAATTTAAGTGAACACTTTCCAAGTATATATACTTTCCAAGTATAACCTGAGGACTTTTATTATTTATATATCTTGAAATATATCCAAAAAGTCTACTAGCTTTGTTGCAAACACTTACACACTTAAGTTGTAGATTACTTTAGATTACTGCTAACCAGAACTCCTAGTTATTTTTCGCATTCAGGGTGATTGAGATCTATATTATTCAGTTTATAAATGGCCTGATTATTTTCTTTTCTCAGGCTTAGAATCTTTCATTTGTTTACATTAAACTGCATTTGCCAGTTCTCCGACCACTGTAGCAGTCCATTCGGATCTTTCTGTAGCACTGTAATGTCCTTGTCTTTTTTAAGTGTCATTGACACACTTGCCTATGTCGCTGTTTATTCCCTAATCTATGTCGTTTGTGTAAACTGTAAACAACAAGGGGCATAACACTGACCCCTGTGGAACACCGCTTGTGACGCTTCCCCACGTTGATTTCGTCGCATTTATACAAACTCTCTGTTGCTTATCTCTCAACTACGCCTCTGTCCAGGAAAAATTATCCTTCTATTCCGTTTGCCTCTACTTTCCTCAGTCATCTTCTGTGTGGAACTTTATCAAAGGCCTTAATGAAGTCCATATTCATTACCATGATCTACCTCCTCGAATACCTAAGTGAAAAAAATTAGTAAATTCATTAGGCAGGAACGCCCCTTTGTAAAACTGAGCTGAGATTCATTGATTAATTTATCTCTTTCACAGTGGTTACGAATAGCCTTGGCAATTGATTCCGTCAATTTTCCCACAATGGAGGTTAGGCTAATCGATCTGTAATTCGAAGCTAAGGACCTGTCTCTTGCTTTGTAGACAGGGATCACATTTGCCATTTTCCACTAATCTGAAACTGTAAGTTCGTAGTTGTTTTGTTGTAAAGACTAGCTAATGATTTGCTAAGTTTCTCTTTACACTCCATTATAACCTTTGAGAACCGTTCATCAGGGCCTGGAGATTCTTTTGGTTTTAACTTGTTAATTTGTCCGAGAACAATGTCAATAGCGACTTTGATCGGCATAAATTATTTTCGTCCTGTCCTTTATAATTTTTTATTTCTGGAATTTTGCAAGCATCTTCCTTGATGAGAACTGAGAGAAAATAAGTGTTAAAGACTATACACGTTTCTTTGTCACTGTCAATGATGCTCTTCTAACAATGTTTATATTGGTAAATCATAACGATGATATTTAAGAGAGACAGTATATTAGTACTCAGTTCGTATATATCGTCTTCAAGAAAGACAGAAAATCTGATTTGAATTTTGTAGAATTTTTTCGTCTAAGCAGCTAGAAAAAGGAATATATTAACCTCACTTGAGATTATCTGACCTATACGGATATAGTAACGTCTCTACCACATTGTTATTCCTAGATGTTTCATTATGGTTGTTAAATATCTAGATGATGCAGTACGGGGATACCTTTGATATACCTTTGAAGACTTTCGAGAGTTTCTCTACTCTCTGATATAGGTGAGTACAAATAGGAAGCGCGTCTGTCAGGCGCTCAGTAGACGGAGGATCAAGCCTTCATCACGTCTTGCGCTGAATGACCCACATGGGTTAAGCGCTTAAAATGAATTAACCATTCAATTAACCATTCTACTCTCTGAGCCCAGTCATGGGCCAGGCTCGTCTGGTTCTTGCCTGGTCAACCAGGCTGTTGCTGCTGGAGGCCCGTTGTCCCACATATCCATCACAGCCTGGTTGATCTGGCACCTAGTGAAGATACTTGTCCAGTTTCCTCTTGAAGACTTCTACACTTGTTCCAGCAGTGTTTCTGAAATCTTCTGGTAAGATGTTGAATAATCTGGAACTCCGGATGTTGATACAGTGTTCCCTTATTGTTGACACAGTCTCAGAATTTCAGGTAACGTTAAAATGAAAATAGTTTGCTCCTGTAGAGTGACTGACCTTGTAGCAGCGGGCGTCCTTAAGAGTCCAGGTGGGTGCACACTCACCCTCCGGCGGCTGGGTAGGTAATGACGTGGTGGGGGCCTGCCCCGTGCTCTCGTACTCGCCTGCACGCCAACACAACCCATGCCCAGCGAAGCACACCCACGCACAGAGAAGAACACCCGCGTTCAGAGTAGCACAACCACGTCCAGGGTAGCACAACCACGCCCAGGGTAGCACAACCAGGCCCAGGGTAGCACAACCAGGTCCAGGGTAGCACAGCCACGCCCAAGTTAGCACAACCACGTCCAGGGTAGCACAACCAGGCCCAGGGTAGCACAACCACGCCCAAGTTAGCAAAACCACGTCCAGAGTAGCACAACACGCCCAGGGTAGCACAACCACGCCCAGGGTACAGGCACCGAGGTGAGAGAAAGGATGACCAGCGGTAAAGTTATGTTTTAAGAAGGAAATACTAAGAAATATTAGACAAAAATTTGGAACTAAAAGGGAATTCGATTTCGCTTTTAACTACACCTCAGAGGATTACTTTCTTTACTTAGAAAACTAAGAAAGCGAGAAGGAAAGTGAATATAATCAAGTTGTGGACTTGTGTAAGTTAAGTAAATCCCACTTTATTAGTCTGAATGTGTCAAGAGATTAGAAGAGGCACTGATAGAGAGGATAATGATCACAGATCCAGTTGATTCACCGGGTTTTATCCTTGAAGTGGCCCGACCCGGGACTTGTTCGTGAGGTTACCCGACCCGGGTCTTGTTCGTGAGGTGACCCGACCCGGGTCTTGTCCCTGAGGTGACTCAGAGTATTATTACCTAATAAGAACATGATATCTGTCGTCGTTGCTCAGCTGTGAGAGGAGCGGCTCTCGTTGCTCAGGTCCAGGGGATAAACCTTGGACTTTAATATAAAAAAAATTAATTAAGTAGGTAGTAGGTTGGTAGACAGCAACCACCCAGGGAGGTACTACCGTCCTGCCAAGTGAGTGTAAAACGAAAGCCTGTAATTGTTTTACATGATGGTAGGATTGCTGGTGTCTTTTGTCTGTCTCATAAATATGCAAGATTACAGGTACGTCTTGCTACTTCTACTTACACTTAGGTCACACTACACATACATGTACACCTTTATTTATGCACACTCATCTGAGTTTTCTTTGATTTTATCTTAATAGTTCTAAGAATCTTTCCTCCGTAAGCCAGGCGTGTTGTAAAAGTCAACTAAAATGCCGGATCATTATTTAGTTGTAGCTACAGTTAGAGTAAGAGGTAGATGGGACAAGAGGAAAATGGCAACAACAAGTAAGAGGGAGGTGAAAGTGTATAAACTAAGGGAGGAGGAAGTTCTGGTGAGATATAAGCAACTATTGGCAGAAAGGTGGGCACGTGCAATGAGTAGTGGGGGGGTTGAAGAGGGTTGGAATAGTTTTAAAAATGCAGTAATAGAACGTGGGGCAGAAGTTTGTGGTTATAGGAGGGTGGGGGCAGGAGGAAAGAGGAGTGATTGGTGGAATGATGAAGTAAAGGGTGTGATAAAAGAGAAAAAGGTAGCTTATGAGAGGTTTTTACAAAGCAGAAGTGTTATAAGAAGAGTAGAGTATATGGAGAGTAAAAGAAAGGTGAAGAGAGTGGTGAGAGAGTGCAAAAGGAGAGCAGATGATAGAGTGGGAGAGGCACTGTCAAGAAATTTTAATGAAAATAAGAAAAAAACTTGGAGTGAGTTAAACAAGTTAAGAAAGCCTAGGGAAAGTATGGATTTGTCAGTTAAAAACAGAGTAGGGGAGTTAGTAGATGGGGAGATGGAGGTATTAGGTAGATGGCGAGAATATTTTGAGGAACTTTTAAATGTCGACGAAGAAAGGGAGTCGGTAATTTCATGCACTGGCCAAGGAGGTATACAAACTTTTAGGTGTGAAGAAAAGCAGGATGTGAGTGTGGGGATGTGAGGCATTACGTAGAATGAAAGGGGGTAAAGCAGCTGAAACTGACGGGATCATGACAGAAATGTTAAAAGCAGGGGGGGATATAGTGTTAGAGTGGTTGATATTTTTGTTTAATAAATGTATGAAAGAGGGGAAGGTACCTAGGGATTGGCAGAGAGCATGTATAGTCCCTTTATATAAAGGGAAAGGGGACAAAAGAGATTGTAAAAATTATAGGGGAATAAGTTTGCTGAGTATACCAGGAAAAATGTACGGTAGGGTTATTATTGAAAGAATTAGAGGTAAGACAGAGAGTAGGACTGCAGATGAGCAAGGAGGTTTAGAGTGGGTAGAGGATGTGTAGATCAAGTGTTACATTGAAGCATATATGTGAACAGTATTTAGATGAAGGTAGTGAAGGTTTCATTGCATTTATGGATTTAGAAAAGTCATATGATAGAATGGATAGGAGTGCAATGTGGCAGATGTTGCAAGTATATGGAACAGGTAGTAGTTACTAAATGCTGTAAAGAGTTTTTATGAGGATAGTGAGGCTCAGGTTAGGGTGTGTAGAAGAGAGGGAGAATACTTCCCGGTAAAAGTAGGTCTTAGACAATGATGTGTAATGTCACAATGGTTGTTTAATATATGTATAGAGGGGGTTGTAAAAGAAGTAAATGCTAGGGTGTTCAGGAGAGGGGTGGGAATCAAATTCAAAATGGGAATTGACACATTTACTTTTTGCTGATGATACTGTGCTTATGGGAGATTCTAAAGAAAAATTGCAAAGGTTAGTGGACGAGTTTGGGAGAGTGTGTAAAGGTAGAAAGTTGAAAGTGAACATAGAAAAGAATAAGGTGATGAGGGTGTCAAATGATTTAGATAAAGAAAAATTGTAGTACCAACGCTCTTATATGGGTGTGAAGCTTGGGTGGTAAATGCAGCAGCGAGGAGGCGGTTGGAGGCAGTGGAGATGTCCTGTCTAAGGGCAATGTGTGGTGTAAATATTATGCAGAAAATTTGGAGTGTGGAAATTAGGAGAAGGTGTGGAGTTAATAAAGTATTAGTCAGAGGACTGAAGAGGGGTTGTTGAGGTGGTTTGGTCATTTAGAGAGAATGGATCAAAGTAGAATGACATGGAAAGCGTATAAATCTGTAGGGGAAGGAAGGCGGGGTAGAGGCATTCTTCGATAAGGTTGGAGGGAGGGGGTAAAGGAGGTTTTGTGGGCGAGGGGCTTGGACTTCCAGCAAGTGTGCATAAGCGTGTTAAATTGGAGTGAATGGAAACGAATGGTATTTGGGACCTGACGAGCTGTTGGAGTGTGAGCAGGGTAATATTTAGTGAAGGGATTCAGGGAAACAGGTTATTTTTATATAGCCAGACTTGAGTCCTGGAAATGGGAAGTACAATGCCTGCACTTTAAAGGAGGAGTTTGGGATATTGGCAGTTTGGAGGGATATGTTGTGTATCTTTATACGTATATGCTTCTAAACTGTTGTATTCTGAGCACCTCTGCAAAAACAGTGATAATGTGTGAGTGAGGTGAAAGTGTTGAATGATGATGGGGATTTTCTTTATTTTTGGGTCACCCTGCCTCGGTGGGAGACGGCCGACTTGTTAAAAAAAACGAATATATTGCATACCTAATGAGCAATAAATGATGACAGATGCTTGACGGCCGTTAAATGAATAATTTATTGCAAATGTTAAAGATTGAAATAAGATTTAAGGAAGACGATCCGACAGTAATTTTAGTAAAGAATAAACAGAAGAGAGTGAAAGAGTTAGAGTTAAGGATGATGAATGTAGAGCACCGTCGGTGTAGAGCACTGTTGATGTAGAGCACCGTCGGTGCTCTACACCAACCCACTACTTCATCTTTCATACATAGTCCTACATTCTTCACATTATGTCCTCGAATTTGCATAGATAAAGCCCTCCAGTGGCCACTGGAGGGCGAAACATCTACAAATAAATATACCCAGATGTTGCACATGTGTCTAATTCTTCACTTACAGATGTACTGAAAAGTTTCTGTACAAGTGGTGGCGCTCCAGACACCAGCGAGGGACCCGTCACCGGAGGCTGTAACACAGCTCCCAAGGGTCGGATCTGCAGAAACGGGATTCACTATTTCTCCTGGGTATATTGCAACATTAAAAAGCTTAATTAAGTATACACAAACAAAATACAATGAACACAGAGAGTCGTGCTTAACAGCCAATCATTGGAGAGATATTTTGGTTGACAGGAACGTAAAGTGTTTAATGTTTTACACAAATAATCCGCACATAGGAGAGAAGAGCTTATGACGATGTTTCGGTCTGACTTGGACCATTTACAAAATCACACTGACACACGACGTGTGTCAGTTTAATTTGTAAATGGTCGGACCGAAACGTCTTGGTCAGCTGTTCTCTCCTATGTGCGGGTTATTTACGTATTACTCCAGTCACGGTATTGTGCCTTTTTACTCTTTATCTGATATTTACTGTCTCAGTGAGAGCCATAATTACTGTTGCTGCTTCTGCTATCCACTCCTTGACTTCGCTCTAACTGTTCTCAACACAAGATAAACGCAAGTGCAGGGATTTTTTTTCACATAAATGAAGCTTGGGCTCGTTAATTGCGTCCTAACACAACACACAAATACATCGTCTCACATTTAACTTTGCATTATCGTTGTTAAATTTAAGTATCATCTCTATAGTTCCAACTTCCTATTATGTAACTTTTCTTTCTTCACCTCTAAATAATAAATTTAATAAGTTACATAGTATAATAATCCAAAAATATAACTTGCATTTTGTGAGTTGCTTGTAATAAATACGGTAAACTGGAGTAAGTGGATTTATCAGAGGGGATTTACACATACACAGATGTAGTAGAGATGGTTCACGAACACCAGCATGCAACTGAGATGGTTCACGAACACTGGAATGCAACAGAGATGGTTCACGAACGCTAGAATGCAACAGAGATGGTTCACGAACACCAGAATGCAACAGAGATGATTCACGAACACCAGAATGCAACAGAGATGGTTCACGAACACCAGAATGCAACTGAGATGGTTCACGAACACTGGAATGCAACAGAGATGGTTCACGAACACCAGAATGCAACAGAGATGATTCACGAACACTAGAATGCAACAGAGATGGTTCACGAACACTAGAATGCAACAGAGATGGTTCACGAACACCAGAATGCAACAGAGATGGTTCACGAACACCAGAATGCAACAGAGATGGTTCACGAACACCAGAATGCAACTGAGATGATTCACGAACACCAGAATGCAATAGAGATGGTTCACGAACACCAGAATGCAACAGAGATGGTTCACGAACACCAGAATGCAACAGAAATGGTTCACGAACACAAGAATGCAACAGAGATGATTCACGAACACTAGAATGCAACAGAGATGGTTCACGAACACTTGAATGCAACAGAGATGGTTCACGAACACTAGAATGCAACAGAGATGGTTCACGAACACCAGAATGCAACAGAAATGGTTCACGAACACCAGAATGCAACAGAGATGGTTCACGAACACCAGAATGCAACAGAGATGGTTCACGAACACCAGAATGCAACACAGATGGTTCACGAACACCAGAATGCAACAGAGATTGTTCACGAACACCAGAATGCAACAGAGATGATTAACGAACACCAGAATGCAATAGAGATGGTTCACGAACACTAGAATGCAACAGAGATGGCTCACGAACACCAGAATACAACAGAGATGGTTCACGAACACCAGAATGCAACAGAGATAGTTCACGAACACCAGAATGCAACAGAGATGGTTCACGAACACCAGAATGCAACACAGATGGTTCACGAACACCAGAATGCAACAGAGATGGTTCACGAACACCAGAATGTAATCGAGAAAATAATGAATTTACATTCGTCAATCAAAAGTCTGAAAAACTCAACTAAATTCCACAGCGTAGTGGGTAGAACTCACTGGGTTGGTCGGCCGCCCAGTAGGTGACGGTGACTGGGTCGTTGTTGACCCAGGCGTAGGTGAAAGAGCCGTCAAAGTTCCTGGTACCTGAGAGACCGATCCACACGGAGGCTCCCAACTCACTCAGGTACGTGGAGAGGAAGTCGCTCTCACCTCTGTGGTTGAAGGTAAATTTAGGGGAAAGTTTTAACAATAAAACAAAACAAAAATAACCGAATAGGTGAATATGGTCTAGAGTAAAAGCTTTAAGAGCGACTGTTTTAGTCATGGATTAAAATACAGTACAGCAGGGCCCCGCTGTACAGCACTTCGTTTTACAGCATTTTGCCGTACAGTGCTTCGCTTTACAGCATTTTGCCGTACAGTGCTTCGCTTTACAGCATTTTGCTGTACAGTGCTTCGCTTTACAGCATTTTGCATTACAGCATTTCGCTAAAACAGCGGTTTGCAATTATACCCATTCTTCATTTATTCAGATTTCCGACAATAAATATATTAAACACTATAAACTAAGAACGCAAATATTTTAAGGTAAATAATATATGTTCTATATATGTGTTTTATAGACCTACTTCTGTATCATAATATAAACATATTATAAGACTTTCACATGCATTTCAAAGTGAAAAAAAAAATACTATGTATCACATTACAGCGATTTTTAGCTTCATAGTAACAACACAGATTCTAACCTGCTGTATAAGCGGGTTCCCGATTATTGAAAAAAATTTACTCCCGAGACTCAGGAAATTGTTGAAATGCAAAAAACATGAATTCAAAAAGATGGAACATTTAATATTACTATATCTATGGGGAGCCTAAGAGATAACCAAAACAAATTAGGACCGTCTGGGAGAATAAAACATAAGAGCATCTGGATAAAGGGATTCTGGCCCATGTTAGAGAGGATCCTCCTCAAATCCAATCCTTCTCCAGCTCAGAAAAAGAACACGACTTTGAGATGAGAATCGGAACCATAATCATACTAGTAGCAATTGAAGGGTGAACGTTGGAAAGAATGAGACATATTCTTGATTGGATGATTTTTGAGGAGGGAATGTCTACCTCTGCTTTGAACATTAGGACGTATTTCCATAAGACACCTGCTGTTTCTGTTCATCAAGAAGTAAATAGGTACCTGGGTGTTAGCTGACTGGTGTGAGTCACATGCTGGGGGACAAAATTAACCTAATTTGCCCGAAATTATCTGCATAAGAAGGGGCCTTCTATATAACACTATGTCATTGATGTCAGGTAGGTCTGTAGATATTAGACATGTACTTGTAGAAAGAAAAATTATATCAGTACAGCAGATATCAGAGCAGATGAAAGTAGGTGGTAGAAAAAAGAAGAAGAGAGAAATATGGGAAATACGTTACGTCTTATGGGAAATGTGTTACGTCTTATGGGAAATGTGTTACGTCTTATGGGAAATGTGTTACGTCTTACGGGAAATGTGTTACGTCTTATGGGAAATGTGTTACGTCTTATGGGAAATGTGTTACGTCTTATGGGAAATGTGTTACGTCTTACGGGAAATGTGTTACGTCTTATGGGAAATGTGTTACGTCTTATGGGAAATGTGTTACGTCTTATGGGAATGTGTTACGTCTTATGGGAAATGTGTTACGTCTTATGGGAAATGTGTTACGTCTTACGGGAAATGTGTTACGACTGTGCCACTTTATGCAAATCAAAGTCAACTTATTAATGATTTTATGTGTATAAGCTGACTCTTTGTAGTAAATGTTGATCAAGGTGGGGACCACTACACTACAGGTTGTTAGTAGTAGTGTGAGGTGCCGTAAGTAGGTTTTAGTAGTAGTGTGTTATATCACAGGTAGCTAGTAGAAGTAATGTGTTACACCACAGATAGTAGTAGTAATACTAGTAGTGTGTTACACCACAGATAGTAGTAGTAGTAGTAGTAGTGTGTTACACCACAGGTAGTAGTAGTAGTAATAGTGTGTTACACCACAGATAGTAGTAGTAATAGTAGTAGTGTGTTACACCACAGATAGTAGTAGTACAAGTAATGTGTTACACCACAGATAGTATAGTAGTAGTGTGTACGCCACAGATAGTATAGTAGTAGTAGTGTGTAACACACAGTAGTAGTAGTAGTAGTGTGTGTTACACCACAGATAGTGTAGAGTAGTGTGTTACACCACAGGTAGTTAGTAGTAGTAGAAGTAGTGTGTTACACCACAGGTAGTTAGCAGTAGTAGTAGTAGTGTGTTACACCACAGGTAGTAGTAGTAGTAGTGTGTTACACCACAGGTAGTTAGTAGTATGTATATAGTAGTAGTGTGTAGAGTAGTTACAGTAGTAGTAGTGTGTTACACCACAGGTAGTTTAGCAGTAGTAGTTAGTATGTTTACACAACAGGTAGTAGTTGTTTAGTAGTAGTAGTAGTAGTGTGTTACACCACAGGTAGTTAGTAGTATTAGTAGTGTGTTACACCACAGGTAGTATAGCAGTAGTAGTAGTGTGTTACACCACAGGTAGTTAGCAGTAGTAGTAGTAGTGTGTTAATCCACAGGTAGTTAGCAGTAGTAGTAGTAGTAGCAGTAGTAGTAGTAGTAGTAGTAGTAGTAGTAGTAGTAGTAGTAGTAGTAGTAGTAGTAGTAGTAGTGGAAGTAGTAGTAGTGCGTTACACCACAGGTAGTTAGCAGTAGTAGTAGTGTGTTACACCACAGGTAGTTAGCAGTAGTAGTAGTAGTGGTTACACCAGGTATAGTAGTAGTAGTGTTTTACACCACAGTAGTTAGTAGTATTAGTAGTGTGTTACACCACAGGTAGTAGTAGTAGTAGTAGTTGTGTTACACACAGGTAGTAATAGTAGTAGTAGAGTAGTAAGTAGTAGTAGTAGTAGTGTGTTACAGTAGGTAGTAGTAGTATGTAGAGTGTGTTACACAAGGTAGTAAGAGTAGTAGTAGTTTACCCACAGGTAGTTAGCAGTAAGTAGAGTAGTGGTTATCCAAGGTAGTTAGCAGTAGTAGTATGTTACACCACAGTAGTAGTAGTAGTAGTAGTAGTAAAGTAGTATAGTATTAGTAGTAGTAGAAGTAGTTGAGTAGTAGTAGTGTTACACCACAGGTAGTTAGCAGTAGATAGTAATTGTTACGAACAGTTAGTAGTAGTAGTAGTAGTAGTGTGTTACACCACAGTAGTAGTTAGTAGTATTAGTAGTGTGTTACACCACAGGTAGAAAGTAGTTAGTAGTAGTAGAAGTAGTAGTAGTAGTAGTAGTATTAGTAGTTGTGTTACACCACAGTAGTGAGTAGTAAGTAGTAGTAAGTAGTAGTATAGTAGTAGTAGTAGTAGTAGTAGTAGTAAGTAGTAGTAAGTAGTAGTAGAAGTAGTTAGTGTGTTACACCACAGGTAGTAGTAGTATAGTAGTGTTACACCACAGTAGTAGAGTAGTAGTAGTAGTAGTAGTGTGTTACACCACAGGTAGTTAGTAGTATATAGTATGTTTACATCACAGGTAGTAGTAGTAGTAGTAGTAGTGTTACACCACAGTAGTAGTTAGTAGTAGTAGTAGTAGTGTAGTAGTAGTAGTAGTATAGTAGTAGTAGAAGTAGTAGTAGTAGTAGTATAGTGTGTTACACACAGGTAGTTAGTAGTAGTAGTAGTAGTAGTTTTAAAAGTAGTAGTATAGTAAGTAGTAGTGTGTGTTACACCACAGGTAGTAGTAGTAATAGTAGTAGAAGTAGTAGTATGTAGTAGTATGTACACAAGGTAGTAGTAGTAGTAGTAGTAGTGGTACACCACAGTAGTAGTAGTATAGTAGTAGAAGTTGTACACCACAGGTAGTAGTATATGTAGACATGTATAGTAGTTTACATCAACAGGTAGTAGTAGTAGTAGTAAGTAGTAGTTAGTAGTCAAGTAAGTAGTAGTGAAGTAGTGTGACACACAGGTAGTAGTAGTAGTAGTAGTAAGTAGTAGTAGTAGTGGTGTTACACCACAGGTAGTAGTAGTATATAGTAGTGTAAAGTAGTAGTAGTAGTAGTAGTGTGTTACACCCACAGGTAGTAGAGTAGTAGTAGTAGTGTGTTACACCACAGAGTATAGAGTAGTAGTAGTAGTAGTTACAAGTGTAGTAGTATAGTAGTAGTTGTTACACCACAGGTAAGTAGATAGTTTTTACACCACGGTAGTTAGAGTATTAGTAGTGTGTACACACAGGATATAGTAGTAGTAGTAGTAGAGTAGTTTGTACAACAGGTAGTAGTAGTAGTAGTAGTGTGTTACACACAGGTAGTAGTATAGTAGTAGTGTGTTACACACAGAGGTAGTAGTAGTATTAGTAAGTGTGTTATCACCACAGGTAGTATAGCAGTAGAATCAGATAGTGTGAATAGATCGGAACCACAGGTATGTTAGCAGTAAGGTGATAGTAAGTGTGTTAACCACTTGTAGTTTGAGTAGTATAGTGTATTGTAGCTAGTAGTAGTAAGTGTTTATAGAGCATGTGTTCAGTAGTTAGAGTATTAGTAGTGTGTGTGTAGTAGTACACGGTAGTTAGCAGTAGAGTAGTGTGTTACACCACAGTAGTTAGCAGTAGTAGTAAGTAGTGTGTTACAACCACAGGTAAGTTAGTATAGTAGTAGTGTGTTAGCACAAGGTAGTAGTAAGTAGTATATAGGTGGATTACACAGGTAGTTAGAGTAGTAGTAGGTAAAAGGAGTAGCAGTAGTAGTAGTGTGAGTTTACGCCACAGGTAGTTAGAGTAGTTAGTAGTAGTGTGTTTAGAAATGTGTTACACGTAGTTTAAACAAAGTATAGTATAGTGTTACACAGTAGTAGTAGTAGTAGTATGTAGTGTAGTAGTGAGTAGAGTAGTAGTAGCAGTATAGTAGTAGTAGGTAGTAGAGTGTAGTAGCAGTTAGCTACCACAGGTAGTTAGTATAGTAGTAGTAGTGGTTACACCACAGTAGTTTAGCAGTTATAGTTAGTAGTAGTGTGTTACACCACAGGTAGTGAGTAGTATTAGTAGTAGTGTGTTTACACCACAGGTAGTAGTAGTAAGGGTGTTACAAAGTAGTAGTAGTAGTATAGTAGGTAAAAGTAGTAGTAGTATAGTGTGTAGTAGTAGTAGTAGAGTAGTGTAAAGAGTAGTAGTAGTAGTAGTAGTAGTAGTAGTGAA